TCTGGGCGCTCTGAAGACGCAGAATGCGAGTGTCCTGACATGCACGCTTTTCGAAGGGAAACGGACAATGCTCGCTTCTTGGAGGCCTCTCGGCGGACCTCTGGGAGCAGTCTTGGACTGCGTTGGGCGCGTCCTGGGCCATCTCGAATCCAGCTTGGATCGCCGCGGGGCTACCTTGGGCCATGTCGACATTTTCTTGGACAGTCTTGGCGTTTGGGCCGTCTTCGGGCCGTCTTGACGCCGCGTCTCGGGGGCTCTGGAGAGGCTCCGGGGTCCAGGGGGGATGCGTTTAGGAGCTCGTGCCCCCACGCCCCTCCCCCTCTCCCCTTCCCCGCAAACGGCATGTTGGACCCCAGGGGGGATGGGAAAGGGGGAGAGGGGGCACAGCCAATCATCTAACACGCTGCTTCACCCCCGGCAAGCGGGATCGGCGGATCATGACATCGTGCTCGTCCTATGAGAAGTGAGTCCTGGGGACAAGCCCTGGAATCCAGGACCCGCTTCACTCAGTGCCCGTCTCGGGTGATGGACGAGGTCAGGTGGGCTAGTGGGGGGGACATTTGGCCAGGAGGGGGGAGACATCAACCCGCTGAGTCTCGGCCGTTGCGAAATGGGGGTGCATAAATTGGAGGGAAAGGAAGGCACACACCTAGGGAGCCCAGAAGTGCCGCCTGGAGCCCCAAAGGGGCACGCACTGTGCACGTTTGTTCGCCCCCCCCCAGCAATCACCTCTGGTGAAGTAATCGAGAGGGAAAGAGAGAGAGAGAGAGAGAACAACAACAACAAAAAACAACAGGATTGGTTTTACATTTGTTCTGGAATTTGGTGGACTTTGTCGACACGCCCCTACGGCGACGATTGCGAATCGCGACGTTTCCTGTTTTACAAATCGCTACCTAACGTCCAAGAGTCACCGAGTCTTCGCCGGTCGGAGCCTTGGCACCCCGACCCCAGGAGCGCGCGGTGTGGCGAAGGGGGGCCTGCCACCGAGCTGTCGGGGATGCGTCGCCGATTCCAAAAGCCAGTCTGCCTGTGTCGCCCCGCCTTACCTCGGAGGAGGACGAGAAAGAGGAGGAAACGACGAGGAGGAGGAAGAGGACTGGGACGAGGAGGAGGAGGAGGAGGCCGAGGACGAGGACGACGAGGAGGAGTAGGAGGAGGAAGAAGAAGAAGAAGAGAAGAGTAGGGGGAGGACGAGAAGGATGAGGAGGAGGGAGAGGAGGAGGAAGAAGAAGAAGAAGAAGACGAATGTTGCGAGCCTAGCGTTTGAAGCCCGTTCAACGTCAAGAAGGAAACATAAGGAAACAGAAGAAGAAGAAGAGGTGGCGTGGGAGGGAGGAGGTTGGGGGCGGGTGGAACCGAGGCTTGTAGCGTACGGGCGGAGCGTAACACGGGGATCCGCATTTTTCCCGAGACGAGCCCGCTGCGCTCGAGGGTGGTCACTGGTGGCGATCATTCCTCGTCCCCACGACATGACCCACCCAAGCTCCAGCCACCACTTAGACAGGAGGAGGAGGAGAAAAAGGAGGAGGAGGAGGAGGACGAGGAGAAACGAGAGGCGGAGGAGGAGGAGGAAGAGGAGAGAAAGAGGAGGAGGAGAAAGAGGGGCAGAAAAGGGAGGAAAACGAGGAGGAGAGAGGGGAGGAGAAAAAGGAGGAGAAAGAGGAGGAGAAAGAAGAGGAGAAAGAAGAGGAGGAGGAGGAGGAGGAGGGCGGAGGAGCAGGAGCCCGACCAAAGCTGGCTCAAGATCGTTTCCATGATCCCCTCTGGGGCCTTTCTCGTCCAGTCTTGAGAGCTGCGTTCGGCGGCGGCGACCAGAAACCCCAGAAAACGCCCGACAAAGATCAGAGCGACGACGTCGCCGACGACGTCGTTGTCATCTTCGTTGTCGTCGTCGTCGTCGTCGTCGTCGTCGTCGTCGTCGTCGTCGTCGTCGTCCCGGGAGGGCGACCAGAGAGAATTCAAGGCGCTGAGGAGAAGGAGGACCAGAGCAAACACCAGATGCCTCAGCGGTGCTGCAATACACCCTCCCGCCCCACGTCCACTCCGCACGTGTCCCCACAAGCGTTCTGTTGTCCACTGCTGGAGCCGCCCCCCTTACAAGGCCAGCGCACTCGGGCCCGCCCTAGTGGCGTGGGCGCCGCTTTGAAAGGGAAGTGCCGCGTGTGCGCCTGGTGCATCCGCAGGACTGAAAAACTGCGACCATGCAGCTCGACGAGGCGTCCAGCGAGACCCTCCTTTCCAGGAAGCACCGCCCCCCATCCGTCGAAGTGTTGCTCGGGCAGGCCAGCCACAACTGGGGGAGCTGTGTTCCTTACCCCCCTGGGGGGCCCATCGATCTCGACACCCCTCTCGAGAGATCGTCGGTGGTCGGACAGGCTTGCACGTGTGAGCAGGAACTCCGAGGAAATGGCAGGCGAGAGCTCCGGGCGGAGAGGAGGCCGCCCTGGATCTGCGCAGCGCTGCACGTGCTGCGGCTTCGAGGGCTTTTTGAAGCTTC